GCACTCATCCCATTGTGCTATGCCTGGCACAATAAAATACCATTTTCTTATTTTTATAAATTATTTTAGATTTTTTAAATACTGTTAAAATTCCAAAAATTCATCTACATGCCAAGGACCTTGCAACTTTTGAGTGTTTTCCCTCCAACAAACAATCACATGTAATAATAAAATAGTAGCATCCATAGTACAAAATGACTACATGCTCAACGGGAAAAGAGCATTGATGTCCAATGTATCTTAGCAGTGGGTCCTAAGACTATTTTTGAACAAGAAAATGTTTTGCATGTGCCCATTATATTTTATTCCAGAAGACAACTTAGGAGTTTAAGATCTGGATGCAAAATAACAGTAATTTTTTAAGGGTTAAAATAAAACCCAAGAATAAAATTCAAGCAAACGAAGGTCCATGTTCTCAACCTTGCTGTTGCCTTAATTTACACTACGGATACTACTACTCACTGCTTCACCAGACTGGCTGCATATAATTCCCACCAAAAGTATGGCTAGTGCACCATGGTCTCTGCAAAAAAAAAAAAATCATTTCTTGATTTATTATTTTGAAATATATGTGATCTAACAAACTTGTTAAAATTGAGCTTGCTACAAATGATATCTAAAAATATCTACGTCAATGGTTCTCTTTAAAATACAAAACCTCCAAATCAAAATTTGAATCTTCCCTAAAAGTAGAAATTTTGGTCTCATTTAAGGTATAATGGAATTAAGATTCTTTAGACAGCAATTGCCTTGGTAAACCCTTAGTTTATGCTAGGTGAAAAAAAATTTTTTTTTTTAATTTAAAAAGTTGAAAGAGGACTTGCTAATTATCTAGGTAAAGCCATTTATCACACAGAAGGAAAGTGAAGTCCTTATGTATTAATTATGACTCACCCAAAAATCAAACAGCTAAATTAGTTACATAAATAAAAACGTAACTCAAACTTCTGGATACCAAGCCATTGCTCTACCACACCTGTGTTACTATAAAATTCCAACATGTACATATGCTATTTTTTAAAAGAAAGTATTTAAGTTACTTGCTCTTCCTTTCACAAGGTTAAGCCTGGAGAGTTTACTACCATGAAAGTTGTTTCCTCATACAAATAAATTCAAAAGATTATTACTATAAAAGTAACCTGGGACCATAGGTAGCCTAAGTTTTTAAGTTCTAAAGGATACACAGCAGCATCATTCTTTCACACAATGAGCAGCCCATTCTGCCTTCAAAGTATTCAATATCTGTGTTAAGGAAGATAACAGTAAGATATTACCCCACATTTATACATTTCATTTTCAGCTTTTCAATGGCTGATCACACCCCACTGCGTTGAGTACTCCAATACATGGGGTAAGCGAAAAAAGCAAAGACACAAGTGTCCGTGAGAAATGAAACAATATTACAACAAATGCTTTCTCTCCCCTAGCCCCTCCTAAAAAAGAAAAATAAAAATAACTTACAAGATATTGGCCAGTTTGGCCCACCTATTTGTTCAGATTAACTCAGTAAGAAGAGTTCACTGAAAATGAGGCAGCCATTGATTTTGGAAGATTAAAGAGAAAAATAGAAATATTCACACATACAGAATTTGATGCTTTTACTCACTGAATGAACTCAAGAAATTTTTTTTACTGACTGATTCAACTAACTTTATTCACATTGCCTTCTATTAGAAGTGAAATCTGTCCAATATTTGACCCTTAGTGCCATGGCAAAATGGAACAGAAAGTCCTGGCTCTGTGGCTCATGCCTAACTGTATTCCATGCCACTTGGAGGAAGGGACCAGTGGAATACCCAATTTCTATAGTTCTGAGCTACAGTAGGGCCAAAACAGAATGGGTCTTCACACTAAGTCCAACACTAATATGGTGAGCCCTTCTCCCCCCAAGGAGCAACTAGTGGCTGCCTAAAGGATATAGGAAAAGATACTTTTAGCCTAGGTGAGACAAAAAGATCCAGTCTCCTCCCCACCAAAAAAACAAACAACATGTAACAGATCCTTTCACCCTTTCCAGTCCCCAATAAATTTCCCTTTGCTTTGTTTGCTATTTTGAAGAAAAGTCCATCAATTGAAGTTGAAAAAAGTAAGCTATCTTTATGCTCATTACTTCATGCTTATTTCTACTGGAAGCCCAATTACTGTTTTTAATTTTGACTAAAAGTTTCTAGTATTGTGGGAACTAAAGAAAAATAACTCACTAACATACAATAACTGTGGCCACAGATGGCTATATATAAAAGTGCTAAAGGATTTAAGCATTTTAAAAATTAAGAAAAAAACTTTTTTCAAATTGGTTTTTAAACTGGGCAACTCACCCCCCAAAAAATAAAGGGCTGCACTCCTCACTTTGACCTCTTAGCTTCTTTAAAGGGTCAGCTCAAGTGCATTCTCAAAGTTATAGTTACCTCCTAAATCTTTAAATTATCCTGTTTATCCTTATCTATATGCTTGATTACCTCTCCCCCAACAGAATTTAAGCCAAGATTATTTTGTACACCTAAACTCAGCTCAAACACCACATCTTATAGGCTTTTGCTATGAAATTACCCAAATGAGTGTTCTCCCGATTTATTTAGTAAATACGTTAAATTTACTCATCCATAGGCTTCCCTCCAGTAGAAAAAAAACTCCTGTTTTGCTAATCTTTATACCCCCTCCAGGGTCTAACACCAAGCCTTACTAAACAGGCTCTTGATAATTGCCCATTGGATTGGGCCTGCCTTCTTAGCGGTTGCATCAAGACTCATTCAAATTTCATTTATCAGATATCTACTTTGTCCAAGGTGCTGATTGTTCAGAAAAATTCTTAATTAGAAACTATGTCATTTCCCTACCACTGACCTCCAAACCCAAACCAAGCTTCTAGAGGGCATTTATAAACCTGGCACCAAGTGGGTATTCCAAATATTTGAAAATGTAGTTGGTTCAATTCCCCAGGTTCATTCGCTAGAGGACTTTTTTTTAAAAATCATTATTTCCTGGTAAAATTTATTCACCAATCTCAAAAAGAATAGTCAACTGCAAAAGCTAGAAGTGAAAAGTGATTCTCCCAAGCACATACTCAAGAATTTTTTTTAAACTAAAAAATATATTACCCTAATACTTAAAGAAAACTAAACCAAAATAATCACTACCACCTCAGGCCTAAAAACACACGGATCCTAATTACAGCAGCAACTTACCTTTTTGTACCTTCCTTTTGCAGATATTAAGTCCAGAGTCTCACAAGCATTGGTCCTCTGTTCTGTTTTATTCAATAGCATACACACTGCTGAATGATTTCTACTGCAAAAGTTAGTAAATCAATCTGCAACAATTCCAGTCTCTTCTTCTACCATGCCTACTTTCCAACACCAGAAACAAAGTAAAAAGTCACATTTTTAAAAGTTTTAAAATTACTAGAAGACAGTAAATAATTGTAAAGCCTCTTGGTCTTTTCCCAAAATCTAATATTGTGGGAGGTTTTTTCATGCTATTTTCAAGATCACAATTTACGTCTGTTTTTAAAATGCAGTATATGTCAGGTTTTTGTTGGGGGAGGGAGAGGATTTTGGGTAGGAGGGCAGGGAGAAACGGACATTCTAATGAAAAGGGACAAACTAATGAGCCATTTAGAAGCAGGTGAGATACCATCAGCAGAATGTATGCTGTTGAAAGAAACAGAATGGAGAGCCGTGAATGAGAGGCTCTGTACTTCAGATCTGCAAAAGAAGGGAATAAGAAAGTTAACACTGAACTTGTAAATAAATCACCTATTTCACCTTTACAATGTATACTTCAGTTAGATATACAAACAGATGTAAATTAGAAGTTCTGGTTACAGTTGGATTTGGTTGAAGTTACGGGTCCAAAAATTTCAATCTTCCAGTTTAAAAATACGCACCCTTAACTACAATTTTCAACACGCGTAGACATTTACCACGACTACTCCACTGTCAAACCTTCCTCTTTCCTCCCTCAATTTCAAACATTTATTAAGCTGCTTGAACACTGTGAGATACTGATGGAGGTAGCAAGGGTTAAGTAACATGAGATCCCTGCCTTCATGAAGGCTCACAAGCTAGCTTTCTAGAAGGCCCAGAGAAATCTTATCATATCTGTTGTCTTTTTTCTTAAATCTTTTCATAAGGAATATCATCATTTTAAATTTTTCTTTGGGGCCAAATAAAAGGAAAAAGTGTTTACAGAAATGTAAAATCTGTATCATAAATACACATGTGCATAATTCCTTTCCTTGTAGTTAGATCTAGTTTAACAGAAACATCCACTTGAAATCTAAAAGTACGTTGTTCAACTTAAAAGAATCCCCACCCAAGGTTTTGTCAAGCTTTAATGGGGCCCCCATCTAACATCTCCAGCCTATTAAATGGATTTTACCTTATGTTTCCTAAATAATTTAAGGTTGATAAGGGAAGAGATTTGGTTTTGATATTTGTCTATCAAATCACCCCAACTGCATTATAATTATACCAAGGTTACCCCACCCAGAGGTCCTCCTAAGACCATCTAAATGAGGGTACTTCACAACTTCACTCCCCCTAGAGATGCCCTCTTCCAAGGGCAAGATGCCGTACCTGTCCCATTCCAGACGCCTCTAAGAGAGGAGAAATGGGGGGGGGGGAGATCCCCTCCTGGAAAGGGGTTAAGTGGCTTTGTGGACTCAGCTTCCCCACTAACCAGCCTCCCCTTACACCCCCACCCCCGTGTACCCGCCCCTTCCCCAGGCTGGTGTGAAAAACGCCAGAAGGGAGGTCTATGCGCTGAGCCCCGGCAAGGACGGGCGCCGGGGCCGGGGGGAAGCCCGAGCTTGGGGGGCTCCCCCGCCGTCCCTCCCGGAGCATCTCCCTCCCAGGCGCGCTCTCGCAGCCCAGCCTCCCTCGCCGGCGCTCAGAGCACGTTGCCCGAGGGTCGGCCCCGGGAAGAGCCCGCAGCCGCATGGACAGACCAGGGGGCGGGAGGAGGATCCGCCGCGGGGGTCCCCCACCCGGGAACGGTACCTTTTGGACAGATCCATGAGGACCCCAGAGAAAAGCTTCTCCCCGAGGCGGAAGGACACCACGAGCGCGTCCTCGATGATGTGGTCCAGGGTGACCCGCACCTCCGAGCCCGGGATCAGCTGAGCCACGGCCGAGTGCCCGCCCGCCGGCGGGACCAGCGCCGGGGCCGCGGGCTGGGGCTGGGGCTGCGGCGGCGGCGGCGGCTCCTCGGGAACCGGCTCTTTCCCCTCCTCCGGCGGCGGCGTCAGGGGCTCGGGTCCCCGCGGGGCTGTCGTCGCCTCCCCCTCCTCCGTCGCTTCTCTCTCCTCAGGGCGGGCGGGAGGTTTCTCCTCGGGCTCGAGCCTCGGAGAGTCGGGCTCCAGCCGGGGCTCGGGCGCGGGCCCCGCCGCCCCGGGACTCCGGGCGGACTCCCCCGGCGGCGGCAGCGGCGGCTCATCGACCTGAGGAGCGGGCTTGCCGTCCGCCTCGTCAAGCACCAGGGCTTCGGTGGCGGTCACAGGCAGGGGATCGGTGCCGGCCTCGGCGCCTGCCTCGCTGCCGGGGATGGGCTCCATCTCTGGCTCGGCCTCGCCGGCGCCCCCCTCCCCCGGGGACGCTGCAGTCGCTGCCGCCTCCGCAGCCACGGCCGCCATTTTCTTTCTGGCTTCTCCTCCTCCGACTCGGGCAGCGGCGACGGCGGCGGCGGCGACGGCGGCAGCGATAGCGCTAGGTTCCAGGGCCTTCCCCTCCCTCCTTCAGAGACTCACTTCCCGCCCCTTTTCTTCTCCGTTCATCTATGCCGCTGCGCCACTGGCTGCCTCTCACGCCCCGCCCACAGGTAGAGCGATCAATTGGTCGGATTGGATGCCCATCACTTTATGGAGTCTCCACCCAGAGCGGGAACTTCTCATTGGCCGATCGAGTTGTCAAACGTCGAGGGTTAAGCCATGGAGTGGGAAGGCGGGCTCAAAACGGGAAAAGAAGAGAGAGGAAAGATGCAAGGCGTGGGGCTGGAGGGTCTGCCAAGTTTTCTATTGGCTGGAGGAGAAATTAGGGGTCTTGTGGTTTGTCGCTGTATCTGTCCATTCCTCTACTTGTGTCCAAGCGGAGGGCAAAGGAGGGAATCACATGGCTTGCCAATCATTTCAGAGGCAGCCGAGGGGAGGGGTAGGAGGACAAGGTGGGGGTAGCAAAAGAGGGGAGGGAGAGCGATTCCCATGATGCACTGCACCACACCCTTAGAATAAATGTTATTTCTAAGCACGGATCTATCTGGCTTCAAATTTGGGGCAAGATGCGATTGTTTGGGGAGTGAGCCAAAGTTTGGTAACCTTAGGACCACGAAGAAACCTTTAAAAAGGAACTTCTCCCTACACGTCTTCATCTTATTTCTCAATAGAGAAAGAAATGGGGGGTTTTGCACAAATCTTTGGGCAAAAAGGAGCCACCATCCAATGAGCTGGGTAGGGCCTGATGTTCCTGAGTATTTCAGAATGAAAAGACTGTCCCCAAGATGCCCAGCTTCAGCCCCCAAGTATACACAGTATTCTTTGGATTTGGGCATCTTTTTACTTTCCGGATTCACAGCACAATGGAAACATCAGTCTCCTTACTTGAGCCTCAGCCCCTTCTGCATCAAGTATACACAGTTTTTACCTTATATTCCTCTTCTCTTATGTACCCACTTGTCTTAACTTCCCTTTCCCCTTCCTCTTTGCATATGTTCAATATGCCTGGAAAAGTCTCCTTTCTTCCAACAGTCTCCTTATCTTCATTTCAATTCTACCTCAAAACCTAGTTGCTTTTTAAGGTGACCCACCCCCCCCAAAAAAGGAGGCGGTTTGAATCAGACACTTTGAAGGAATAGAAAAGAGAGAATGAAGATCATCTCCAGGGATGGAGATGTAAGAACTTCTGTAAGAACTCATTCTTTGGCCTGCAGCCCCTGGGAAAATACTGAAAAAGATCACTACTACAATTAAGGTTCTTTTTACAATTAAATTTGATAAAATGGGAGATCATTCTATATTTTACTGTGGATGCTTAATAAATTGTACATAAAATATTGTCTTTTTTTTATAAAGCTTTCAGAGTTAAGCTTCTATGCTACCATTCAGAGTCGTGCTATATGATATCCCAAGACGAGAAAGCAGTCTCCTGGTTACCTCCTTGTGGTGACTAAACAGCTAGTTTGTGATGAAACCTTTACTTGTATCATTTTCCAAGTACATACAAAATGGAACACCAAAACACTACCGTTATTATGTCACTCCCTAGAACCATAATCTATTAGAGCTGGAAAAGACCTTTGAGATCATCTAGTCCAATCCTCTCATTTTATAGATGAGAAAACTGCAGCTTAGATGGATTGTTATATGCCCAAAATCAACAACTAGTAAGTTACGGAGCCCGGATTCAAACCTGCTTCCTCTATCTCCAAATCCAACATCCTTTCCCATCCATCATAGTTGGAATCCCAACTCCAGTATTTACTAAATATGTGACCATGGTTAAATCACTTAACCTCTCTGAGCCCCAATTTCCTCATTAGTAAAATATAAGTGATATTTTTACTATATGCTCTACAGGGTTGTTTTGTAAGGAAAGAGCTTTGTAAATCTTAAAAGTGCTATATAGATTGGTTATTATTATTATCCAACCTTATTTCCCACTTTATTTCATGGATTGTAGCAAGGATGAAGAATAACATCCTGAATGCCACCCAAGTACCACAAAAGTGGGATACCAGAAGGCCTCCAGTACGTTGGGTATGGAGATTTTTTGGGAAAACACGGGCAGTATTCACACAGGATGGAAAGACATTGATTACCATCTGCACTGCATTGGAGGCAGTTTCCACACGAGGTCACAGATCTGCTGTAGTAAATCCTACTTATCAAGCTACAGACCAGGCAAATACATAAAATCACTTCACAGTCCTCTATATAGGCTATGCTTATTTCAGTCTCCATGTTTTTGCTCCTGCTGTTCCCCCTTGCCTGGGACTCCTTTCCACTTCTTCCCTTATTTTATCCCTAAAGACCTATGTGAAGTTTTGTTGTGTTTTTTTTTAGCAAACTACATGAAATCTACCTCTGCTCTTCCAAACTGTGTAATTCTCTGAACTTCCCTAGCATTTTAGTCAACAATTCTCAGGCTAACATTTCTGTGTTCTCCAATTATTCTCTTTTGGGGACTAGTTCTGGTTTAATTATATTGCAAGCCCCTTTAGAGAAGGGATCACATTTTTGTTTTGTTTTTCTGTTTATGTCTTTCTGTACAGTGATGGGCATGTATCAGATACTCACTAAATATTCATTAACTTATGGAAGGTGCCTTGCATTGCCTCTTGGAAAGACACCTAAGCATGCCAGGGGCTCTAAGCCAAAGTTTCTGAGCAACAAATGGAAGCCTTGGTTAAAGAGATGTGAATAGTGCTGGAGTCAGCCTCATAAACCTGAAGCCAAAGATACAGTGCAATATAATGGAAAGCCTTCTTCATACAAGACTTAAAGGACCTGACTTGTTCTTGATTCTGTTACTTACTGACTTTCTATATAATCAATGAATCTCTGTGGGAAAAGCATTTAACTTCTCTTAGCTTTAGTTTTCTTATTTGTAAAATAGGGACAATATCTGCTTTACAAGGTGATACTTAAAAGTGCTTTGTAAATTCTAAAGCGCTGTATAAATTTGAGATTTATTTTAACATGGCTGTGTTCTGTGTCTCAGCCCACAAAGATATTCTGTCTAATGTCTAATGTGTCTGATACATGGGACTACAGAACCTGAAAACTGAAGCATAGCAGGAATTTATCCATTCCATAAAAATTTGCTGAGCATTTCCTATATTCCCCACCCAATACCTGTGCATTTGCACAGCTAAGAGCAAACACAGGAATTGAGTAGAAAATGTGATTTTAAATCATTTGTTCTTGTTTCTATATCAAATTTCTACCTGTTGGTCTGAATTTCTTTTCCTTTGATTCAGTGGGGGTAGCTTTGAAACTGTTATGCTCCTATGAGTTGAGTGTTTCCTGGGATTAGATGTGGCGTGTGCTGTCCCCATTCAAAATTTATAAGTCTTTGGAAAGACTGCTTTTTCAGCTGTCTTTTGCTTTACAACAAATTGCTTTCTAGGGTGTCTGTGTGTGTGTGTGTGTGTGTGTGTGTGTGTGTGTGTGTTGGGTGAAGGAAAGAAGCTACTCCCATAAGGTTTTTCAAGGACTCTAAATGATTCATAAAGAGCTTTCATATTCAAGGAGGAGAGATGCAGGAACTAGGTCTCTCTTTTTTTTTTCATTTTTTCTTTTGATGGAAAGAGGACTTTTGCTTAGGAAGTGGCATTTCCACTAAAACCTGGTTCCCAAGTAGCTTCAGCCCACTAAACCAGGATGATACATGCTGTGGATGCTGAAAAAGGAAGTGAGGGGAAAAAGATGCCAATATCAACATAGCTTCTTTGTTCCAATGACCTTGAAGTAGCTCAGCAGTCCTCACAGTACTGCAAGAAAATGTTAGGAGCCAGAGGTTGCTCCTGCCTGGGTTCAGTTGCCACAGTGACTTCTCTCTGAATTCACCAAATCCTGTGCTCTTAACATCATGGAATCTCACAACTAGAAGAAACTAAAGAGATAATTTAACCTTATTTGCCATTTATTCGTAACGGCATTACCTAGGGTTTCTCATCCTTTGAGGAGCTCAGAACTCTCTTCGATCTCACTCTTGTAGAGCTAAAGAGAATGTAAATATGGGACGTGGGAAGACTGAGACTTGAAGAAATCAAGTGACATATCTAGAGTTTAGAACAACATAGAGCTAGCTAGTTTTATGGTCCAGATTTCCTGACTTAATGGTGCTTTCCTTCCCACCCACCTCCCCTTTTTTGACCAGTTGCTGGGTTGTATTGATTCACAGTGAGTAACGGCCAGAAACAACACTGAAATGTCCACAATGGAGTAATTAAGGAATACAGCTGTTTTTGGAAGCAAAATATTCATGTGTTTATCAAGGACTTGATCTACTTCAATGTTTTATACAGAAATTGTACTTTATTTGTCCCCAACAAATATGTATTATTGATAATGGTAATAACTAACTCACACCATTGGCTTGAGCTCACCTAATGAGTAGACACAATAAAAGGTTAAATACTTCAGTGGATCCGTGATAGCTTTAACGTGAATACTGTCTTCATGTTGCAGATGAAAACTTCATCCTCTTGCATAAACTGAGACAAAAGAGATCTAATGACCACCCAAGATTCCAAATCTCTCTCTTTCCCCACATAATCTCTAGGTGTGTGTTTGCGTGTGTGTATGTGTGTGTGTAAATATATATATATATATATACACACACGTATACATATTTATGTTGTTAGACAATTTGGGAATTTGTTTTGCTTGACAGTAAATGTTTGTAACCAGTTTTGTTTTTCTTTCTCAAAGGCAAGGAGAAAGGGAGATGGTTTTTCATTAATTAAAAAAAATAAAATTTAATTTAAAAAACCCCCAAACTTTTCATTTTTATCCATATTCTATCCTTACGAGCTACTTAAGGCACTTGAGACCTTTCTCTAGGTGTTTTAACATTCTAAGGTTACCAGTTGAGTGGCCTGTTATCCTTCACTTACCTATAAATAGTTTCAGGATAA